GTTGAGTCCAACTATGGGTCTGTCCATTTCTGAGAGAGGGGTGTTGAAGTTTCCAAATGTAAAACTGGATTCATCTATTTCTCCTGAAATTCATTAGTTTCTTCCTCAGGTATCTGACACTCTTGTTAGGTGCCTACCCATCAAGGATTGCTATGTTTACTTGGAGAATTAACCCTTTTATCATTATGTATGTCCCTCTTTACCTCTGATGATTTTCCTTGTCCTAAAATCTGCTTTGTCTTAGGTTAATAAAACTCCAGTTTTCTCTGTTTTATTGAGATATAACTGACACACTTACAAACTGTATGTTTAAGGTGTACAGCATAATATTTGATTTACATATATTGTGAAATGATCACCACATAAGTTTAGTTAAGATCCGTCATCTCACGTACATACAAAATAAGGGGGGGAAAAGGAAAGAAAGAAAAGAGAAAAGAAAAGAAAAAAGGAAAAGAAAAGAAAAGAAAAAAGAAAAGAAACCTTTTTCTTTGTGATGGATCTTTTAGGGATTTATTCTCACCATTTTTTATATATGCCATCCAGAAGTGTTCGTGGCAGTCACCATGTTGTACATTATACCCCTAGTGCTTGTTTATCTCATAACTGGAAATTTGTACCTTTGGCCACCTTCACCCACCCAGTTTCCTTTTGATTAGTGTTAGCCTGGTGTGCCTTTCTCTTTCCCTTTACTTTTAACCTATCTGTGTCTTTATATTTAATGTGGGCTTTTTGTGGACAACACAGGGTTGGGTCATGTTTTTTATCTACTCTGATAGTCTCTCTTTTAATAGGCATTTAGGTCATTTACATTTAAACTGATTATTGATATAGTTGAATTCGTATTTACCATATTTGTGACTGTCTGCTATTTTGATGCCTTTGTCTCTCTTTCTTGTTCTTTTTTCCTTCCACTCTCTTTCTGGCTTCTCAGGTTTTGAGTATTTTTATATTATTCTGATTTTTCTCTTCCTTTAGCATATCAATTATACTCTTTTAAAATGCGTTTGTGGTGGCCCTAGACTTTGCAATTTACCTTTACAATTAATCTAAATCTGCTCTCATATATTTTCACAATACCACTTCAGTAGTGCAAGTATCTTACAACAGGGTATCCCTAATTCCGACCCACCCCCATCCCCTATAACATTGCCATCACACATTTCCCTTACTCAAGAGCTATATTCATCCGATATATTGCTATTGTTATCCTGAATAAACTGATAGATCAGTTAAGTATAAGAAAAATAAAATATTTTATTTTACCTTCATTTGTCCCTTCACCAATCGTCTTCATTTCTTTATGTAGAGCTGAATTGTGACCCATGTCCTTTTTCTTCTCTCTAAAGAACTTCTATTAACATTTCTTTCAAGGCTGGTCTTCTGGTGACAAATTTCCACAATTTTTGTTTATATGAGAAAGTCTTTATTTCTCCCTCACTTTTGAAATATAATGTCACTGGATACAGAATTCTAGGTAGGTGGATTTTTTTTTCTTTCAACAATTTAAATATTTCATTCCACTCTCCTCTTGCTTGCATGATTTCTAAGAGAGATCTGATGTAATTCATACCTTTGTTCTTCTTTTGGTAAGGTGAGTGTTTTCTTCCCCTCTGCCTTCTTTCAAAATTCTTCTTTGAGTGAGACAGGAAGGCTAGAGAGGGCTGGGGCTGGATATCTTCCTTCCCTCAGTAGGTGAGGATGTATTAAAATCTGTATTGGATTTTGCACATGGGAGACCATGTGAACACCCTGGAAGAAGACCACCACCTACAACCACCTACAAGTCTGAGAGAAATGCCTTAGAAGAAACCAGCCCTGCTGACTCCTTGGTCTTGAGCTCGTAGCCACCAGACCTTCTGAAGGCTAAGAGACAGGACATCCACCGCCAGAACCCCCAGCATCCAAGGGTATAAAAGGAACAGACTCACTGCAATGAGAACCCTCATCAGACAAAAGGGGAGTGAGAACCATCCAGGCTGCCTGGCCAGCTCCTATTGGGTGGGTACAGAGAGGACTCCCCTGTTACACTAATTGACTTTGGAATGTCAAGACAACCTTACACTACTGGGATAAGTTCCGCTTGGCCATGGTTTATAATTATTTTTATACATTGATGGTTCTATTTGCTAGGAGTTTGTTGGGAGATTTTTTTGTGTCTATATTTATCAGGGATATTGGTCTTTTAGTCTTCTTGCGATGTGTTTGCCTGGTTTGGTATCAGAGTAGTATGGCCTCACAGGATGGATTGGGAGGTATTCTTTTCTTTTCCTTATTTTATTTATTGGGGGGGAGGGATATTCTTTTCATTTACATGTTTTGTCAGGGTTTGTGAAGGAGTGTTAGTAATGCTTTAAATATTTGACAGAATCGTTAGTGATGCCATCTGGGCCTGGCCTTCTCTTCATGGGAATTTTTCTATATTATTAATTCAATCTCTTTACTTCTTGTAGATCTACTCAGATTGTTTCTTTTGAGTCAGTGTGTTTGTGACTTTCTAAGAATCTGTCCATTTCATCCAAGTTATCTAATTTGTTGGCACACGAGGAGGGGGTCAGCTGTAGGTTCATTTTTCCCTCATCTTACCCATTCCTCCAGAAATGGTTCTTTCTCTGAGGTCAAGATATGAAGGGGAATGCTGAGAACAGGGAAGGAGGAAGCATTCTGCTGAGGGCACCAGTGCTCTAGAGCGAGGCTTTTCAAAGGCAGGAGAACTAAGGGGACAGGAGGCCCCGAAGAAGGAGTGGGCAGTGTGGGCAACTCCTGAGAGACCTCGTTCGCAGCTGCCGTGAGGACAAAATGCGGGAGTGAGGAAGAAATGATCAAAGGTTTCCTGGGTGGCAAGATCCCTGTGCGAGAGACCTTTGAGGAATTTCACAATGCAGTCTTAATTACTTGTTCAAGATTTCAAAACTTGTGCCCTTGGGAGTGGCCCTGCTCAGCAGCTGAAGCTGGGGTGACACAAGTCCAGTATCACTGCTGGCCACGCTGCCACCTGTATCTCCTTTTCTCACCTGCTTCTCCCTTTCTCTCTTGGCCTTCTCCACCCCCCATCTGCACCCGTACACCTGCTCCCAATGTCCCCTCCTCATCCCCATACTTCCGTGGCTCAGTTCGTGGCAAGGCTCCCTGATACCGGCTCCCATCATCAAAGCTTTTTCCAGGGCTGTTATCAGCAGCGGCTGAGAGTTTATGGGGTACAGAGTGCACTCACGGAGGGTCCATCTTAGGGTATGGGGATGACCTTGACATCCCCAAATCAGCGGCCTCAGGGCCCTTCCCATGCTGGTTATGGCAGATGCACACCCTCCCTCTGTCTGACATGCCCCCTCAGTTCCTCTGACAAAAGGAAAAGAGCATGCCTTTCAAGGAAGAGTTCACGGTCAGAACTGGAGTGGATTTAGAAATTGGGATGTTCTTGGTGACACAGAAAACTGTGAGGGGCCTTCCACAGAACTCGAGAGGTGGTGATAGCCAGTGCCTAGAATGGGCTAGGCTTTCTCCTCTCTGCCCTCAGCACTGACGTGCCTTTACCATGCCATTCTACAGATGAGGAAACGGAAGCACAGAGAGGTTACGTAGCATCCAAGGTCACCCAGCTATGGGATGGTGGAAGCAGGATTTGATCCCGACAGTCTGGCTAGGAGATTGTGCTCTTGATGGTGACACTTTCTGTCTGAAGTAATAATGAAAAGGAGATAGTGCAGTTGTAGAGAACTTGCTTTTGAGAAATTATACTGTGGAGAGGAAAATGAATGTGCATTTAGGGGAAACACAGCATGGGCCGATGTGGGACATCTCTCTCTGCCTGGAGGAACGTGTATGCAGTGCCTCAGGGTTGGAGTGGGGCTCAGTGAGGCGTCCACGGGGGGCGCACTGGGGTCTTTGCCAGTGAGGCTGCAACTCAGGGCCCTGCAATGCCCACCGAGCTGTGCGGGGCCCGCAGTCTGTCCACAGGCCGGGACACGCCCACACCTGCTGCTGTTTTGCCTGTGCAGAATCCCAGCACACTGCAGAAGCTAAGTCAGCAGCCCGCAGGTCAAGGGAGCTGGGACCCCATACAGAACTCACGACAGTCACACACACACACACACACACACACACACACACACACACCCCAACCTCTCCCAGAGCTGAGGCCGAACTCTGCTAAGGGCTTGTTCCCAGGACCCTGACCCCCAGGAGACACCCAGTCCACTCCTCTGCTTTGCTGGGTGTTACCCACACCATGGTCCGGAGTGAGGGTCTTGTCCCTGCTTTGGGCTGGACCTGGTTGAGGCTGCTTCAACACAGAAGGCCTGGACACCGGCCCCACCTCTCTGGCTCTGTGGGAACAGTGAGATGTATTCATGTTCACAAACATCCTTTAAAAGCACAAAGTGCCACCCTCGTGTGCTGGCGGCAGCCCCTCCAGCCTCTCTGCTGCCAACCTCGCCCTGTCCAGGCAGCTGCCTGGTGTGGAGGGCAGTCAAGGGGGGGATTCAGGGAGTAGAAGAGAGGGAGGGGGTTACCTGGGGTAGATGTGAGTGTGGCTAAACAGATCCATACCTCTGAAAGCCTGAGCCCTCCTCATGGAGACGTGGGATCTATTTGTCTTAAATATACAAAAAAAAAAAAAAAAAAAAGTTAGGGCTAAATGGGCGCCTCCGTGGGTCCCCTCCTGGTGGAGGCGGCAGGGCAATAGAGGCTCCCAGGACTCTGGGCTCTCTCCCCAGGGAGCAGCTCTCAAAGCTCCTGTGGAAGCAGGACTGAACACAGGGATGGCTTACGGCAAATAAACATTAAAAAAAATTTTTTTTTAAAGCGTGGCTTGGTTGGTTACGTGTCTGACTTCGATTCAGGTCGTGATCTTGTGGTTCTTGAGTTCAAGCCTTGCGTCAGGCTCTGTGCTGACAGCTCAGAGCCTGGAGCCCGTTTCAGATTCTGTCTCTCTCTCTACCCCACTCCACTTGCCCTCTGCCTCTCTCTCTCTCTCTCTCTCCCCCCCCACCAGAAATAAATAAACATTAAAAAATTTTTTTATTTAAAAACAATGGGTAGAAGGCAGTGAATATTCCAGAACACCTGTTCTTGCAGACAGTTTCACAGAAATGCTCAGAGAGATACTGTGTTCATTTTCTATGACTGCTCTAACAAGATACTACAAAGTTGGTGGCTTAAAACAACACACATTTATTCTCTCCCAGCTCCAGAGTTCAGAAGTCCAAAATCAGTGTCACTGGGCTGAGTTCCCCGTGTTGGTTCAGCCACACTCCCGTGGAGGCTCTAGAAGGTGTGTCCTCACCTCGCATTTCCAGCCTCCAGTGCTCTGTTCCTGGCGCTCCTAGGCTCATGGCGTCTTCCTCCAACTTCCAAGCCAGCAGTCTAGCATCTCGCTTCACAGTCACGTTGCCTTCTCCTGGGCCAAGTCTCCCTCCGCCTCTATCGTGTGACACCTGAGATGACATTTACAGCCCACCTGGGTAACCCAGGACGATCTTCCCATCTCTAGCCCCCGAGTTCAATCTGCAAAGCTGCTTTTGGCACGTGAGGGGGACCTTCACAGATTCCGGGGGTTACGGCCTGATATCTTCGGGGCCTATTATTCAGCTGACCACAGATACACTCACTCAAACACAGTATAAAGTGGCCACATAGACAGACCCAGACACACACACACACACTCCTCACCTCCAAACCTCTTCTCATCAGCCTGCTCAAGCCAGGCTTGGGAAGCCACACAACTCTTCCCTTTCCCCCATGACAGCTTCCTTTCCGATAACATTGTGCAAGTCCCTCCCTCGTTCCCAGTGTCCCTTCCATCTAAGAAGCCCTTCCTCACTCCTGCCTTCAGAATTTAACCTACCTTGAGGCCTCCAAGCTGAAGGCCTAGTTCTGAGCCAGCCCCTTTCTTCACACCATCCACCCTACTCTGCAGGTACCTGCTCACAGCTGTGCCTCACTGCCACACCCTATGGGTTCTCAGAGAACACCAACTGAAACAAGGATTAGAGGAAAATCAAAGGTCAGCACGCAGAACTCTTAAAGGGGGAGTGCGTCCAGTGCCTGAGTCTGGGAGCTTGGTGACTGGTGGACTGACATCTGGGCGCTGGCTGAGCTAGGCCACTCGGGTCTGGGGCATGGGTGGGGCTGGACAGCTCCCCTAGAACACGGCTCTAATCAACCTAGGGAGAGAGAAATAACCTCTCTGATCCCCACACCTGCCCCTCAGTGCCAGTCCTAAGGGCCAGACTCCATGGACCAGCCAGAGGACTTCCAGTCCGGGTGAGTGCTGGCTTTCAGGGTGGTCACACGGGAAGCGGCTGGCCCCAGCCTGTGGGGGCCTCACCTCATTCTGCCCACTCCCTGGGGCTTCACACAGCTGATCCACAGCTTTCCCCCAGTATCTCCCAGGCTCAGGATTCTAGGGACTCTATTCGCACAGAAGGCACCCTTGGTGTCTGTTCCCCACCAGGGACTCAGACTCAGCCCCTGGTGCAAGGCGCCCAGCCTGGGCCACCAAAGGGTGCAGTGACATGAGTGTGATGGGGAACTCAGGCACGCAGAGTGGGCGGTGTGGGTGGTGAGTGTGGCTCTCCGCCCAGGCTCCCAAGGAAGGGAAGGGAAAGAAGGGAGGGAAGGGCAGAGCACAGGCCCTTGTAGGCACCCTCATCTTAGGCTTTTGAGCCGGCCCGGCCAGGTGTGTGGAAGAACACAGGAAGGAGGGTGCAGGGCGAGAAGGGGGTCCCCCAGCGCTTGGGTCAGCGGTGGCCAGCGCCTGCCCCCAGTGACCTCTATCACAACCAGGGGCAGCGCCGTCAGAGGCAAAGCCTTGGGGCAGAGCACCGCCCGCCCCC